ATATAAACTCATTTGTAAAATCTTACAGAGAAGGCTGTTCAATTAATCGGTAGACATTTATTAAGCATCTACAACGTTCTAGGCACTGTGCTAAGCCCCAGGGATACAAAAAGAGATGGAAAAAATGGTCCCTGCTCTCAAGCTGCTTACAATCTAATAGGGGAGAGAAGATGCAAACAAACAAATACAAAGCTAGGTATATAGGAGAGGACCAAAATGACATCACGATGTACAGTGTGTCTGACTGTGGCTGATCAGACCAACACAAATTCAAAAGGCTCTACCCCAGTTTGGGTACAAATAGTCCGTATACAGGATAAGTAGGGAACCGAGAGAAGGCACTGGAATTATTAAAAAGAGTTGAGGTAGGCTTCCTGTAGGAGGGATTTTTGTTGGGACTTAAAGGAAGCCAGGGAAGACAGTAGGTGGAGCAGAAGAGGTAGAACATTCTGGGCCTTGGAGGAAATAGCCAGAGAGAATGCCTGGAGCATGGCCTGGATGTAGGGTCTTACTAATGAGACAGACAGGAGACCATTGTCACTGGATTGAAGACTATGTAGCAAGTTGTTAAGACTGGAAAGGTAGGAGGGGGCTGGGTTATGAAGGGCTGTGAGCATCAAACAGAGCATTTTGTATTTGATCCTGGAGGCAATAGGGAGCCACTGGAGCTTATTGAGTGGTGACATGACCTGCATTTTAGGAAAATCACTTTGGTGGCTGAATGAAGGATGGATTGGAGTGGGGAGAGACCTGAGGCAGGCAGACCCAGGAGGAGGCAGGATGGAATGCTATCACTTGAACAAGTAGAGGGCTTAGCCTTGGTAAGGAGTAAGGCCACTTCATCATGAGAGACAGGGGTGAAGGAGGAGGAATGGCAGAAGGCATCTGAGTGACAGGAGTTGAGGAAAAGAGAAAAAGAGGAAGCTCACGGCGAACAGCCTCAATTTTTTTTCTGTAAAATGTGAGGTAAGATTCTCGGCCGAGAGAGTGGGAGGAGGAGGAGGCACGGGAGGTTTGAAAGACGTTCCAAAAAGGTTTGGAAGAACCGCTGAGGAGAGTGGGAGAGTGAGCTGATAAGGGAGGTATAGTAGTGATGAGAGATCATGAGTATAACCACATTAAATCAGAGCCAAGGGAGAGGGCTAAAGGCAGTTTAAAGAATGTTTGGTAACAGACCCAAATATGCCAAGTCATCCTGAGGGCAATTAAGAATGAACTAGGGAAGATGACAGGTGACAATGGAAAAGATCTGCACAATTTTAATACAAGTTTTTTTTAACCATCAAGGATGATGGAATCATTACAGTTGGCATCTAACATCACAGTACTGAACGGGTAGAAATGGTACTAACAAACACTAAGAGGAACACGGGGCTTGAGTTAGACCATTGTACATAGAACAAGAGGCAACCCAATTGGGAGGGTGCTGAGGAGTAGTTTCACAAAGTATCTGTTAGTCAATAAACACCTCGCTAACACTGGGGATACAAAGAAAGACAATCCCTGCCCTCAAGGAGCTTGCAATCTAATGATTATATCCCATGATATATATGATATCCTATGCAAGCTAGACATGGGATAGATTAGAGATAATTACCAGAGAGAAGGCACTAGTATCAAGAGGAATCAGGAAAGGATTCCCATAGTAGGTGAGATACCAAAAGTGTGGGGAAAGTCTTAGACCTTAAGGATAACAAAGAAACAAAAAGCAACCAAGAAAATCACAACCAGCTTTTGTGCCTGCTTCCTCCCTTTCTTCCCTCCCTCTTGTTTCATGGTTTTTCACAATGGATATCATACAGAGAGTCATGGAGAGGTACAGGATAGGAGCTAACTGGTCATAGCAATTACTATGGTGTGTGTGGGGGGAGGACTGGAGGTGGGAGTGGGGGATGTGGATGGAGGAGAGGGGTGTGTGTGTGTGTATGTGTGTGAAGGGCAGCTAACAGGCACAAGGAAGTATTATGGCTTTGTCTCACTCAGAGTCTGAGTAATTGCTTTACCTATAAAAGCCCTCGAGGGGCTCACACCCTGAATGATCATTTCTCAGATCAGAAAGGGTGTGAAATTAGGAGAGACCCATTGGTTTTAGCCCCCTTCAGACTCTGAAGGGTCTATGTAAAGGAAGTATAATATTTCTTTAGTTTACTTTAGTCATTCCTTGATTGATAGGTGGTGCAGTACATAGAGTGCTGGGCCTAGAGGCAGGAAGTTCTGAGTTCTAATTCAGTCTCAGACACTTACTAGCTGTGTGCCCCCTGGCAAGTCACTCAACTGCTGTCTGCCTCATTTGCCTCAACTGTAAAATGGAGATAAAAAAATCCTTCCCAGTGTTGTTGTGAGGATGTAATAATATTTGCAAAGTACTTTGTAAACCTTAAACTCACGAGCACTCACTAACTATTATTACAGGGTAGAGCAAGGCTAACTATAGGCTAGCTAATCACATCCCTGGTGGTCTTAAAAAGGATGATCAAACTCTGAGACAAAGTCATTTAGGTAGTCAAGGAGAGAGCCAGATGTGGAGATAGAACCCAGATCTTGAGAGAGAATTGTTTTTTGCCTCTTCCTTTGTGAATCTTCCAGAGTGCACATGAGGAGAGGAAACCTTTTTCTGCTCGCCACCCTCCATTGGTAATGGCATCCTGGGGTGGTACTATTTCTCCAGCAGGAGACACCACACCCAGCACACCTGGGGAGCAAGCCCAGAGGTTCCAGCTGAAGAGAGGAGCAGGAAGCCTTGCAGAGAGACGTACCCACTGGAGATACTGCACCAGGGGTAAGAAGTATGAGGATATCACCCAAAGCAAAAAGACCCTGGGACCCTGAAATTCTGGAGTTGTGAGTTTCCTTGGTCACGTGCATTCATACTATGTGTGCCTTCCTACTAGCAGACTTTATGTGCATGTCTACATTTCCTACTGACACTGTGGATATTTATGGGGCAGCATGATCCAAGTTTATGGAGGGGGCAGTGGAGAATATTTGGTAGTTCATGGTTGCTCAGGAGAACACTATTTCAGAATCTGGGTGTTGCTGTCAGCCCAGCATCAATGCCCCAAGGAGCAGGAAGTGACCGTTGGGATTTACTTTTGGGACCCAGCCCAGCAGTAGCTGAGACAAAGACTCATTTCACTATCGTGCTGCATCTGGATGTGAATTTGGTGAGATTAATGCTACGAAGAAACTGACTTAAGTTTGAGCCCACTGTTCCCAGAGAACAAGGTGAAGTAGGGGAGAGTATGTCCCCAAAGTCTTGGGGTGAAATATTCTTGATATATCTTTGGGTTTCATCTCAATAGCATTAGAGAAGAGACACCCCCCCACCCCCACCCCATCCAGGACAACTCTAGAACCTTATAGGCAAGATATAGCAAGTATTGATCTGGGAGAGTGAGGCCAAAACTTACTCAATACGCTATTCACAATTTAGCCATTTTTTTGCAGGGGGAGTGGAGAGTGAGGCATAGATCCAAAGTGTTTTCCAGAATGGTTGTGCTTCAGTTTCTTCATCTATAAATTAAGGGTGTTGGATTCATTTTGGGGGCATCTGTGACTTCTCACTTGTAGTTAGTGATGAGGGTTTCTAAAGTGTTCTGCTGACCTTAACATCGAGATTTCAGGATCTTTTTGGGACTGGGGACAGAATGTCTTTCCTCCCTTTCTCAGAAGAAAAGTATGTGCTTTGTAGAATTAAAGTGAAGTAGCTTTATTGCATGGGGGTGCAGAGACAAACTCACTGAACTCCAGAGTCCTGAGGCCCGAGTATGAATCCAACAGTGTTCTTGACTTCCCTGAATGACCTTGGTCAAGTCCCTCTCCTCCCTGGGCTTCTATAAAACAAGCATGGCCTCCATGGCCTTTGACGCTCCTTCCAGGTCTGGATTCATGACCCAGTTACTAGGTGGTGTATCCCGTTCCTTCCAGCCCATGGCCTGCCCAGGGTCACAACCTGCAAGCATCAGAACCAGAACTCAGGGAAGCAGCAAGCAGTCCCAGCGCTGAAGCTGACTCACTGTGTGACCTTGTGCATATCTCTAACCCTCTCTGGGCTTTAGTTTCCTCATCTGCAAAAGGAAAGGAGGGGTCAGATTAGAGCAGTGGCTTAAAACTCAAATAGAAATGGGACCCATTAAACTAGACAGAAGGATCCCCACAGGCCTCATATTGACTGAAATAAAGTAATCAAAATTAAAAAAAAAATTCATGACTCTAGATTAAGAACCTGTGCTCTAATCCAATGTACCCATTTTACAGATGGAGAAGCTGAGGCCCAGAGAGGTGACGTGATTTGCTAAGATCCACTGAGTTGGTGGCTGAGCCAAGACATGAACCCAGGTGTCCTTCCTCCTAGCCCGGACTTCTTTCTACTACCCCACGCTGAAGTGACTGAGGAGAAAGGCTGGGACCCTGGATTAGGTCTAGGAGTAGGAAGGGGCTAGACATGGAACTGGGACTGGGAGATCAGAGGGGAGGAGGAATGGGTGGGATCCTCACCTTTGTCCCCCTCCTGCACTCCCCCAGGAATCTGCTGAGCTGCCACAAATGATTGTGGTGAGGGGTGGAGAGGAGAGGAGGTCTGAGCTGCTGTCCTCACAGATCAGCCTGTCAGGACTGATGAGCTGAGAGCTGTCTCCCTGTGCTCCTAGAAGCCGGGGCAATAGCTGGCTTTCCCAGGCTCCATCCCGGGCTTTCCCTCCCTGGCTGTGTTGCCCCCTCCCTCATGGTCCCTGCTTTGGAGACTGCTATGAATTCTCATGTACCTGGTCTTATTAAGTGCAGGCTCAGCTGGGGGAGGAGTTAGTCAGTGCTAGGTACTGCGGGAGGGAAGGAGCTTTTATTAAGTACCTACTCCATGCATTTGCGTTACAAATATGATCTCATTCATAACAACCTTGGGAGGTACTTGTTATCATCCCTATTTTACAGGTGAGGAAACTGAAGCAAACAATGGTTAAGTGACTTGCCCAGGGTCATACCTCTACTAAATGTTTGAGGTCAAATTTGAACTCAGGTCTTCCTGAGTCCAGGCGCATTGCTCTATTTACTGTACCACAAGGTGCCTGTTTGAGAGAGGATCTCTGGGTCTCAAAAACTTTCCAAGTCTCCCCAGTCCAGCTTTGTCATTAACTCAGCACATAGTCTTGGGCAAGTCACTTAACTTCTGTTAACCTGTTTCCTCATCCATACTCAGGGTGGGAGCCTGGAATGACCTTGGCTTGGCCAGGGTCTCCCATTGCATCCTGGGCCATCTCCAGTTGTCCTGATGACTGTCTGGCCGCTGGACCTGGATGGCTCTGGAGGAGAGGGTGAGGCTGGTGACGTTGCACAGCCCTCCCTCACTCAGGTTAGGGTCAATTGCGAGTTGTGTCATCATCTTCCTGATGTCAGACAAACACACCAACCTGTGAATGTAAATAGTAACTGTTTCTCTTTTGGCCAGCAATCCTGAGGGTCTTCCCCTCCCAGTCTGATTTTTTTTTTTTAATTAAAGGTGACATCCTTTGACTGCCTTCTTAAAGAGGGCTATTTACTGAATGGGTGTTACCTCACTCACAGTAAGAACCTGAGAAGACCTTAGCTTAAAAGGGCCAGGGTCTCCCATTGCATCCTGGGCCATCTCCAATCGTCCTGATGAGTGTCTGGCCACTGGCACCTAATGGCTCAGGAGGAGAAAGTGAAGCTGGTGACCTTGCACAGCCCTCCCTCAAGTCAAAGTGAATTGCAAGTCATGTCATCATCTCCCTGACATCATCGTCCTCTTCAAGAAAAAAGGACAGGGAAAAGGACCCACATGTACAAAAATATTCATAGCAGCTCTTTCCGCGGTGGCAAAGAATTGGAAATTGAGAGGATGCCCATCAATTGGGGAATGGCTGAACATTGTGGTACATGAATGGAATGGAATACTATTGTGCTATAAGAAATGATGAATAGGCGGACTTCAGAAAAACCTGGAAAGACTTGTGTGGACTGACGCTGAGTGAAGTGAGCAGAACCAAGAGAACATTGTACATATTAACAGCCACATTGTGCGATGACTAATATCGATAAACTTAACCTTTCCCAGCAATACAAAGACCTAAGATATCTCCAAAGGCCTTGTGATAGAAAATGCTATCCACATCCAAAGAAAGAACTATAGAATTTGAATGCAGATTGAAGCATACTATTTGGTATTTTTTTTCTCTTCTGTTTAGTTTTGTTTCCTCTTTCTGGTGGTTTCTCCTATTGGTTCTAATTCTTTCTTACAACATCACTAATGTGAAAATATGTTTAATAGGAATGTATGTGTATAGCCTATATCAGATTGTATGCTGACTTGGGGAGGATGGTGGGGAGGAAGGGGGAGAAAAATTTTAAACTCAAAAGCAAATGGAAGTGATTGTTGATAAATCAAAATAAATTAATAATAATAATAAAAAAAGGAAGAAAAGAAAAGAAAAAAGGACAAACATAAGAACAAAAACAACAGTAACAATGACAATGGGAGGATTGAATTAGATGAATTTTAGGTCCCTTCCTGCCCTGATGTTCTAGGATCTAACATTCTATTTTTTTTTAAAGTTCTTCCTTAAAAAAGAAATGAGTTCTAACACTGGTGTAGTGGAGGGAGTACTGAGACTAGAGTCCAGTAAGACTTACTGGCCGTATGACCCTGGGAAAGTCATTTAGCCTCTCTGACCCATAGTTTCTTCATCTCTAAAATGGGTACAAAAACAACTCTCAAGCTTGTGTTAGGATAAAATGAAATTATGTCTGTAAAGTACTTTCCAAACCTTAACACACTATTTACACAGGTGAGCGGTTCGGCTGCTGCCTCTAAGGTCACATCCAGCTGTGACGCTGTATAATTCTGGCTTCCCCATTTCAGTCCCAGGCAAGTCAAGAAGGAAGAGATGGCCAGAGGAATCAATGACAGACAAACAGGAAGACACCCTTGACAGGGGTGGAAGGTGACTGGGGCTTTTCCAAGTTGGGAAGCTGGGGAGGTCCTCTCCTTACAAGGTCAAGAGCACGGCCTGTGTGACGGCTGAGGCCCCTGTGGGATCCAGCCAAGGAGGCCCCACCCCCAGGCCCTGGTCATGGTCAGGGGATCCAGGCAGGGACATATACCTGCCCCTCCCCCTCGGGCATCACCTGAAAGGAATGTGGGGCCGATAAGGGGCAGCCATTGTCTGACTTCCTGTTTTCGGGACGTCCTGAGCCTGGAAAACTCCCAGAGCAGGCAGGAGCCAAGGTCCTCCCTGGCTGAGGGAGGGCGGGAGACCCAAGCCATGGGAAGGAGGGTGGGTCTTCGTTGTTAGGCAGTCCTCTGGGTGCCCTCCCCTCTCTGGGGAGACATGCTTGTTCACTAGTATATAATAGCAACACTGTCACCACCTAGGAACACTATGTACCTCTTGGCAATATTTGGTAATTCAACACTATAAAATCACAGAAACTGGAAGGGACTTCAAAGGATCCAGCCCCTACTTAAATAGGAATACCCTCTCCCACACTGTGCCAGTGAACATTCAGCCTCTGCTTAGATACTTCTATTGACAGGGAGCTCACTACCTCCAGGGGCAGACCATTTCACTTGGGGATAGCTTTAATTGGTTTATGAAGTTCTTTATGTCAAGATGAAGTATGTCTCCCTGTACCTTCCACCTATCTCTCTTGGTTCTATCCTCCGGGGCAAAGAGACAAGTCTGATGCCTCTTTCCCATGACATACCTTAAGGGCTACCATGTCATCTCTGAGTCTTCTTCAGGTTAAATACCCAGTTTTCTCAACAGATCCTCTATGAATCAGTCTCCAGTACTCTTGCCACCTTGGTCACTGTCCTCTAGACGTGTTTCGGCTTCAGTTTAAAACATGGCCCCCTCAGTTGGTCACAGCATTCCAGATGGGGTTTGAACGGGACAGAAAACATTGGAATTGGCCCCTACTTTACTCAGCGCTATGAAGCACAGATCAGAGTTCCAAAGTATGGGACAAGGTAAAAGTCCTCACTTCTCCACCCCAATATGACTCTAAAGGCTCATAAGGGCTCTGCACCACTGGCACCTGCCAAAAGACAGTCATTGAAGGGAATGTCCAGTGAAGTGGGGCAGGGTCTTTTCAATTGAGCAGAACCTGTCCTGGGGGGTGTATCCTTGGCACTGGAAATAGACAGGGCCCGAGCCATATATACTCCCTGATATGGACTGGTATCCAAAGGTCTCCTGGGTAAGAAAGACAAGGACTGTGATAGGGACAGACAGGGAGAGATATGAGCAGGTTCAGAGATGGAGACAGAGACAATGAAAGAGATAGGAAAGGAGACAGAGATACGGACAGAGGCAGAGACATGAACAGGGACACAGAGTAAGAGATATAGACAGAAACAGAGAAACGGACAGAAGGAAACAGGGACAGAAACAGAGATACGGACAGAGACAGAGATGGGGAAGAGACAGAGACTGAAAAAGGTGTAGGGCCAGAGACAAGGTCAAAGTTGAAGCTAAAGAGAGATTTGGAGAGATTGCAAACAGTTTTCAGATTGTGTTGTCTTTTGACTTTGCTCTAATATTTCCTGATGCATGGCATCTTTATGTTCTGTCACTGACATTCTCTTTTTCAGAATGTCTGCTACCTTATAAGTCCTCCACATGCTATTCTAAGTCACTGATTCTCTTAGAAATCCTTAAGGGGTCTAATTTTGTTTCTAGTATCATCCTTTAATTCCTTTATTTAGCTTCAAAAGCATTCTTTGTCACTTTGCAGTTGTTCCCAACTTATTTCTGGGGCTCCTTTTGGCTGTGGTTGTTCTGTTGTGTCCAACTCTTCATAACCTCGTGGACCATAGCACATCAGTAATGTCCATGAGGTTTTCTTGGCAGAGGCGCTGGAGTGGTTTGCCATTTCCTTCTTTAGTGGATTAAGGCAAACAGAGGTGAAGTGACTTGCCCAGGGTCACATGGCTAGTGTCTGAAGCCAAATTTGAATCCTGGTCTTCCTGACTCCAAACCCAGTGGATAAAGATCCACTGAGCCACCCAGCTGCCTCCTGATTGTAGTTACTGCAGGATTATTCCATTCTTTGGAAGATTTCTCTTTCTTTTCTTCCTTCTTTTCTTTCCTTCCTTGCTTCCTTTCTCTTTCTCTTTCTTTTCTTTCTCTTCTTTCCCTCCTTTTTTTTTTCTTGGTAAGGGATGAAGCACTTCCCCTTCTTTAAAGAAGCGCCTGTTAGAATAGTACTCAAAGTAAAATCTCTGAGAGCATAGACTCTGATGAAGAAGTATCAAGGTCAACTCATCTCCAGGTATACTTTAGTCCCATCCTCTCTTGTCTTCGTCGGTGTTTGCATTCCACACCACTTCTCTCCCCCATCAGATATTATCTTTTCTCATTCTAATTTTCAATCTCTCCCTGTCTACTGTTCCTTCGAAGCTGCCCACAAATATAGCCCTAACTTCTCCATCCCTAAAAAGACAGGGACAAGGACTGTATCATTATACCCTCACAATGACCCTGGGAGTGAGGACTTATTATGATCCTCATTTTGCAACTGAGGCAAACAGAGGGTAAGTGATTTGCCCAAGGTCACACAGCTTACGAGCTGTCTAGAGTGGGAAGCAGGATTCACACTGGGGTTTTCCTGACCTTAGGTTCAGTGCTTTACCTACTTAATTGCCTCATTGACTAGGGGTATATCTCCAGGCTCCGTCGTGGGCCCTCTTCTCTTTTTTTCTCTATGCTTTCTCACTTGACCATCTCATCAGCTCCCGTGGGCATAATTATCATCTCTATTCACATGATTCTCAGATCTACAGCTCAGGCCCCAGTCTCTCTCCCGAGTTCTAGTCTCTAAGTGAAAACTACCTATTAGACATTTTGAACTAGATTTCCCACAGGCATCCTGAACTCAACATGCCCCAAACAGAACTCGTTAACTATGCCCTCCCTCTCATGTCCCTCTTCTTCCAAATTCCTCTATTATGGTTGAGGGCACCATCATCCTTCCAACCACCGAGATTCTTAACCTCAGTATTATCCCTGACTACTCCCTCTCACTTCATATATCCAAAGAGCTGCCAGGTCTTGGCAATTTTTATTTGTTGTTGTTACTGTTCAATCGTTTTTCAGTTATGTCCAACTCTTTGTGAGCCCATTTGGAATTTTCTTGGCAGAGATACTGTAGTGGTTTGCCATTCCTCCTCTAACTTATTTTACAGATGAGGAAACTGAGCTAAACAGGGTTAAGTGACTTGTGCAGGATCATACAGCTAGTAAGTGTGTCTGGGGCTGGATTTGAACTCAAGTCTTTCTGACTATAAGCCCAACACTCTATCCTCTGCTGCCTGGGACAGGGCTGGGGTTGAGGCGGGGAATGAAAGAGGGGAGGAGGGGTGGTGGTAGAAATCATCCTTTAATTATTTTATTTAGCTTTAAAGTGTAAGAGGCCTGGAAAGGCAGTAGGAGGCCAGGTTATAAAAAGTGTGAAAAGCCAAAAAGAGGATTTTATATTTGATCCTGGAGTTAATGGGTACACAGTGCCTAGCACATAGTAGGAGCTACAGAAATATTAGCTGTTATTATTGTTGAGTTAGGCAGGTGGTGTAGTGAAAATAGAATGATAGGTCTAGTGTCAGAAAGACCTGAATTCAAATCTAGCCTCAGAAACTTGCTAGCTGTGTGACCTTGGGTAAGTCACTTAATGTCTGTTTGACTCAGTTTCCTCAACTGTAAAATGGAGATAATAAACAGCACCTACCCCACAGGGTTGTTGTAAGGATCAGTGATGACATTTATAAAGTGCCTAGTACAGTGCATGGCACAGAGTAGGAGCAATATAAGTTCTAGTTATTGTTTTATTATTGTTATCTCATTATTATTGAATGGGCTTGGGGGAGGGAGTGACATGGTCAGACCTGTGCTTTAAGAGAATCGCTTTAGTGGCTGAATGGAAAATGGATTGGGGTGGGGGCAGGGAGGGGAAGACCTGAGGCAGGCAGCCCCACCTGCAAATTATTGTAATAGTCCAGGGGTGAGGGGGTGATGACCTGCGCTAGAGTGGTAGCAGTGTCATAGCAGAGAAGGGGGCATGTTCCAAAGATGCTACAAAGGTGAAATCGACAGGTCTTGACAAGAGGTTGGATTTACAACCGGATCCCTTTCTCTCTCTTCTTGTACTGCTCTGTCTGTAGGGACAACCATGCATAGCACCTGCCTTCTACATTGTTGTGAGGATCGAACAAGATAATAATTGTAAAGCACCTGGCACAGTGCCCAGCACAGAGGGCACTTACTAAATGCTCAGTCCCTCCCCCTTCCCTGACACACCCTCTATTGTCAAGTCATACTGACCTATTTGCTGTTGCCTTTGCCCTCACTGCCCACCGTGCCTGAGATCTTCTCCCTTCCTCATGTCTATCTCTCAGGACCTCTGACTTTCAGATCAAATCCCACCTTCTGCAGCAAGCCTTTCCCAGACCTAGTGCCTTCTCCTCCAAGGCTACCTTGTATCTGTTCTGTATGTATCTCATGTGTGCCTTTTTTATGTACAAGTATCCTCCCCTACTAGAATGTAAACTCCTTGAAATCAGTGACTTTTTTTTTCTTATTTGGATCCCCAGCACTTAACACAGTGCCTGGCACATAGCAAGCAATAATTGTAGCTGACTTATTTATTACACGTCACCAGGTGGTGCTCTGGGCTCCACCTCCCCTACATTCCCCGCTTTGAAAATGCAGGAATGTGGATTACCTGCCTGGATCTCTGCGCAGGAACCCCGTCTGGGCCTCAGAGACTTGCAACCCTGTCTCCAACCTCCTAATGCCCGCCGAGGTTCTATCTTGCCTTGTTTAGCCTAGGGTTTTAAATATGCAGATTAGCTTACTATATTTCATAACTTTATCAAAACGTCTTCATCCTCCATCCTATTAATAGTCTTATCTCTTTGCCAACTTCATGTGACCCAAAAGAACATACACTCTTATTATAGATTATAGTACATTTACTGAACAGAGACAAACAAAAAATACGACTTCAAAACACTTGAGCAGCTGTCCATCCACTGTTCCAGTAAAGGTCTGAAATCTCAACATCTCCCCTCTGAGACTTCAGTGCACCTGCATGAATATTTTTATGGGAACACTTTCCCACAATGCATTTTTTTGAAAGAAAGGGAAGAAATCATAGGAAGAGCTTAAAGGGACTTTAGAAGTCATCCTGCCTCTGACTCTGGGCAAGTCACTTAACCCCAATTGCCTCACCAAAAAATTAAAATTAAAATTAAAAAAACTGAAAAATTGAAAAAGTCATCCAGTCTCCTCCCTCATTTTACAGAGAAGGAAACTGAGGCTCAGAGAGTTTAAATAACTTGCCCAAGGTCACAGAGGTTGTAAGTAACAGAACCAGCATTTGACCTTAGGTCTTGTGATTCCAAGGTCAAGGATTCTGATCAATAGGCAGGCATCAGCACCAAGGTCAAGGGCTGTATTGGTCTTCTCATGGGGGCTGCCTGGTATCCCCCACCCCAATCTCTGCTTAGCACATTGCCCTTGAGTCATCTCTGTGTTCTCTTTGCCAGGCTTCTCTTGGGGTGCTTGCCATCCTTATGGCTTACCAGAGGTTCAGAAGCTTCCATCTCTAATCCATAGATGCCCAGAAAAGCAGAGAGAGCCCCCACACACATACCCTGCCCCACGAAACAGGCTCGTTGTCCATGCTGTGTCTCTCTGGTATGCCTGGCACGTCTGCTATAAAAAGTCTCCTCTTTGTTTTAAATGTTCTGCCACAGTACACATTATATGACCTTTTCCTAATGCGTTTATGATAAAAAAGACTCAGGCAATTCGCTCCCAGGCTCTGAGTTTTTACTTCTCTCAAACCTTCAGAGACTCAGGAAATTGCAGGGGATGTAACACAAGTTGTTTTGAAATGTGGGTCATGCTTTTACCCTATAGTATTTCTTCATTAGGTTAGGAGATTTTCTTGTTTACCCATCCGTCCAGTGTCTGCAGGCTTTCAGAGGTGGGTGTGAGCTTTCTTTGAGAGGATCTCTTTGCTTTCTCTTCTTCTTTTGGTTATTATTTTGGTTTTGATGGATATTCTCGTGTCATATTTTGAGTGCTTCTCTTGCTGTTGGAATGCAGCCTCAGATACTAGCGAGGTGATCCCAGCCAAGTCACTTAACTTCTCTTGACCTTAGTTTCTCCATATATAAAATGAGAATGACAGCATCCATCTCTCAGAGTGGGTGTAAGCATTGAAGGAGATTAAACACTTTGCAAACTTTAAAGAACTACATACATGTCAATTTTGGTGATTATTAATAATAATATATTTGTGAAGTGCTTGGTGCAGTGCCTGGCACACAGTAGGTGCCATATAAATGCTAGCTATAATCATCATCATCATCATCATCATCTCATTCTATTCATCTTTTTTGATGGAGTTCAGATAGAATCAGTCCAAAGAAAAGTCACTAACCTCTCCCTTTCATTCTCCCTAAAGAGATTTAGCCATCCAACCTGCAGGTGCCTGTGTGGGTTGGAACAGTAAGTCCAGAGCCCATAAGGGCTATCTATATACATGACTTGCCCAAGGTCAAACTAGTACTAAGCAGCGGGCAGGATTTGAATCCAGATCTAATGCTGTTTCCACCACAGGGTTCAAAGGACAACTCCTTGTTTCCTTCTCCCTCCTCATGGAGAGTCAAGTCTGGACAGGGGCGCTTAGGGGCATCCCTCTCCACTCCCCCAGCCCCTACCCAAGAGTCAGGGAACACATGGGGTGCCTGGCTCTAAAGAAGTGCTCCTGCATGGGGAGGAAGGAGGAGCAGAGGTTAGCGGAGCACCAGCGACACCTGGCGACTCAGTCTGCACATTTCATCTTTTGCCTCGACCCCAAAATGCACATCCCTGAGGGAGGCAAGGAGCCGCAGAGGGGTGGGAAGTGGAGGAGAGAGGAGGGAAAGGGAGGGGAGGGAGGGGCCCTGGGTTCAGCCTAAATTTAAAATGACCTGGGCTGGGTCTGCCCTGCCCGCACAGGGAGGGAAGGAGATGGAGGACTCCAACAAGGACCCAGGCACCTCCCCTCCACACACACCCAGCTTCACCCTGATTGCCCAGGGCCTGACCCAGGCCCATGCTTCCAAGGCAGGGAGGTTGCCTGCTCCCCACCCAGCTCTCAGCTTGATCTGGGATGCAGTTTTCTCTCTCTCTTTCCCATTCCTCCTTTGGCCCAGATGTGGAAGTCATTTAACCAAGGCCACACCACAAATGGTAGAGCAGGAACAAGTCAGGTGTCCCGAGTGCTAGCTGAGGGTTCTAAATGCCAGGCCTTCTCACCCCAGATCCTCTCTGCCCTCTCTGCTCCCCATCGAGCTCAACTCAATCCTCCTCTTTATTTCCTGAATTCAGTTTCCACTTGTAAAGATTTAACACCCCCACCCCCCAGTTTGAAGGCCACGAAGGAAGTGTTAAGAAGCTCTCCTATAAGCTTACAATATGGTGTAAAGGAGTTCCTTAATCAGCTCGAGAAGATTAATGGGCCTTAGTCATTGGATAAAAACAAGTGGCCCACAGGAAACATCTAGTGACCAGCTGAAAGAACAGACCCCTTTGGGCAGATATCAGAAAGCAAGCCAGCAGCCTAAGAGTGGGAGGCGGTCTAGGCTTGGAGCAGTCATGAAATGAGATCTCTGTAGGAAGAAAGGAGGGATTACAGAGAACTGCCTCTAGCAATATAGGTGGACACCTGACCTGCAGTTTAGGAGTCTTGGAGAGTTACCTGGGGCTCCTGAGAAGTTAAGGGATTTGGCCAGTGTCACGGGCCAGAAGCAGGGCTGGAAACCAGGCCTTCCTGGTCCCAAGGGCAGGTCTTCAGCCCCCACAGCCAGCTGCCTGCCTCTGCCTTGTTCATATCCATCATTTTTTATGACTCAGTAATACTCCATTATATTCATGTACCACGGTTGGTTTAGCCATTTCCTGATCGATGAACATTTTACTTTCCAACATAGATTTTAAAAAGATGCGCACTGGGGAGGTAAGCAAGGGAAAAGGAACTGAGGAGGAGTACAAAAAGATGAACAGGATCTGTCCCCAGTGAGATAGGAGGGGATGAGACAGCCAGGAAGCAGGTGAGCAGAGAAGAGGAAGCCCTGACTGTGTGTACCAGTGGAGGAGGGAGGATGGTAGAGGGACCGGGCCAGAGAGGATAGACCAAGGCTAGTGGCTGATGGGATGACTCCACCAGCAAGTGAAGTTTAGCCTCCCCCTTCACCCACCCCAACCTGACTCCTTGGTTCTGTCTTCAGCCCCAACACACACACACACATACACTGTATGCACAGTTAGAGCCTTTAGAACTGGAACAGACCTTAGAAATCATCTACTTCAACCCATTTATTTTACAGTTGAGGAAAACTGAGGGCCAGAACCAGGAATGGACTTGACCAGCATTATATAGCCAGTCAATGGCAGAATTGGGATTTTTTGAAGGTCACATAGAAATGGAGAAATGGCACATTTGAACTCCCATCTTTTGAGTCCAAATTCAATGTATTTTTGTTTGTTTGTCCGCTACACCAACTTACTTCTTACACAGGTACCTGTATACAAACACATACATATAAACAGAGATAATCAGATATCTAAAGATACATGTATATACATATAGTAGAAATATATGAGATATGGACATACAAAAAACATACATCCATGTACCCTCATGTACACACAGAGACAGTCAAACCTAGAGGTTTTTAATATGAAACAGAAGCACACAGCCATTCCGCCAATAAACATTTATTAAGCTCCTACTATGTGATAGGCACTGTGCCATATGAAAGATGCAAGAGACAGTCTCTGCCCTCAAGGAGCTCCCAATCCAAGAGAGGAGACAATAAGCAAATAAGTATGTATAAACAGGCAATATCCAGGACAAATAGGAAGTAAATAAGGGAATGAAGGCACTAGAACTGAAGGGTTGGGAAAGGCTTCCTGTGCATGGTGGGATTTTAGTTAGGACTTAAAGGAAGCCAGGGAAGGCAGGAGGTGGAGATGAGGAGGGACAGCACGCTAGGCATGGGGGACAGCCAGAGAAAATGCCCAGAGCTGAGAGATGGAGTGTCCTGTTTGTGGGTCAGCGCCAGTGCCACTGGATGGTAGAATATGTGGGGGGCTTAAAGGAGAAGAAGATTGGAAAGTTAAGGTTAGGGGGCTGGGTGATGAAGGGCTTTGAATGCCAAATAGAGGGTTTTGTATTTGATCCTGAAGGGGACAGGGGGCCACTGGAGCTTACTGAGTAGGTGAGGGTGACATGGTTGGACATATGCTTTAGAAAAATCACTTTGGCAGCTGAACGGAGGATGGATTGGAGTGGGGAGAGACAAGACAGGCAGACCCACCAGCAGCTAGTGCAATAATCCAAGTGTGAGGTGATGAGGGATGGACCAGAGTGGTGGCAGGGTCAGAGAAGAGAAGAGGGTGTACTCGATGAGATATTGCAAAGGTAAAATCAAGAGGTACTGGAAAGATTGGCTATGAGGAATGAGACAGAGTGCGCGATCCAGGATGACTCCTAGGTTGTGAGCCTGGGGGAATGGGAGGATGAGGTTGTCCTCTCCCATAACTGGAAAGGTAGGAGTGGGAGAAGGTTTAGGAGGGAAGATGAGAAGTTCCATTTTGTGTAATGGATATCCAGTTCAAGATGTCTTAAAGGCAATTAGTTGGAGATGTAGGATGGGGGGTGAGCAGAAAGTCTGGGGCATATGGTAAAACTTTATCTTGTTCTGGCTCCCCTGATCAATGCCCCCTCTTCTAGTTAGTATAGTAAGTAAATTTATAAATAGTTAGTATAAAGTAACAACAGTAGGAAGCAAGATTGCAAAGGGAACCTCGAAGTCACTTACACATTAAGGGAGTGTAGCAGTCACTGGAGACTGTTTCACAAATTAACTAAAACAACATCCTAAGACTATGTGCTAAACAAGGGGAAGCCAGCTAGGCCTTACTCTATGAGCCCCTGTCCTGCTAATCACCCACAGCTGAAAGCCTCAGTTCAGCATCAGATATTCACAACAAGACCAGCAGAATGCCAGCAAACATTAGGCGAATGAACTAACCCTGAAGTGTTGCTGATAACTCTGCGATGATGTGGATGTGTTAATGAACTAATCCTAAAATGGCAGGAGGAGTTAGTGTGTCCCCAACCAACACCCTACAAAAAGGTGACCCCAAACTCCTGCTTCCTTTTGCAGTTGCCCCATCTGCTTCCAGTCCATGCTGCCTGAGGGCTCCCAACTCCAATCTGAGGTTATGTAACTCTCTATGCAGTTCCCTTTCCCCATTCTCTTGCCCAAGCTGATTGCCTCCCTCTACCACCCCATTCCTGTCCCCTCACCATCTGCTTCTGTACCCCCTGCACCATTTGTTTCTATATTTTCTGTGCTGTTTGTCTTATTAAAGTGTGATTGGAGCATTGCTCCCCACTTGCTGCCATCCTGGTCTTTCCTGATAAGTATCTAGGAACGAGGTGTTCCTGCCCCCCAATGGACCCAGAAGGAAGTCCTTGTGGTCCTATTTTCTATGTCACAATTAATAATTCTATAAATTAATGAGCAATTCAGGGCAGAATAGGTAGATTTAAGAGTCATCAGCATAGGGATGGTAATTAAATCCGTGGGTACTGATGAAATCACCAAGTGAAACAGTAGTATACAGGGGGAAGAGATGAGGGCCCAGAACAGAGCCCTGAGGGACACCTGTGGTTAGAAAGTGTGAC